GCTGCAGCAAACTGGATTAACGCTATACTTAAAGACCTTTTCACAGAAGACTCCATGGGCACTGCATACTCCCCTTAATATATGTGAACCCCCAAGAATGCACTGCCGAGACATTTGCACTCCCGTGGTACAGTCCAGAAAGGAGGTGTTGCTCCGTTCCTGTGAAAAAGTCACCTTTTCACAGACGGCTCCCTGGGCGCCTGCATAATTCTCTCTGGGCTGCGCTAATTAAATAGCCGTGACACCCAAAAAATGGACTTTGTAGGCTGTGACGTCAGCCTCTGTACTCCCGCGCGCTGCCCAGCTTGGCGGCGTTTTTTTTTTTTCTCCTGTGAAAGTTGACCGCTGGTGCCGTATTGTGTGCCGGCTGTATCCTCGCTTTGTGCACTTTGTAGGGAGGCGCATATACCTTCTGTGTACAAAAGAGGTAGACTTCCTTGCGTGTGGTTAAGGATGTTCGAAGTTGCTCGGATATGTCAGTCTTTCAGTAGATGTCATCTTCGATTATTCGTTTCGGTGGCGAGGACTACAGTTTGAGAAAAGTTTGCCTGCGTCCTCGGAATGCGCCGCTGAGTTTTTCCGCTTAGGGGTTTCGTTCCCTGGCAAATTTGCGCACGTCGTGTTGGTGTTGCCGTTGCTGTCGAACTGTTTACCTTCACAGAAGTAGACGTGCTTTTCGTAGGAACCCAAAGCCGACACGTGCGGTCCGCACAGACGGATAACGTCTCCAGCGGCAATGCACAAGGAAAGCATCTGGAATCAATAAAGGAGCTGCTACGGTGTGAAAGACGAAAAAAAAAAGACTCGAAGGAACGCGAGAGCGAAGGGCAAAGCTGTACAAATCGGGCAGGTGCGCGTGCGGGGGAGGGAGCGCTGAGGTGTTCTGGTAAAAGGGTAGGTTTGAAGAAAGGAAGAAGAGGGAAGCAATGCCAGGAAAGTTGCAGTGTAACTTTGGCAGCTGGTGGTCGCTGTGAACGCGTGTAAATATTTTAGTATCACCCGAAAAGTTAAAGCATCAAAAAAATTTCGGGGGGGGGGGGTCAGAACAACCTCACCCCCCCCCCCCCTGGTTACGGGCCTGTTAGCCAGATGCTTATTTGGACGCGCTGATCTTCGGTCAAGCTGCACGGCATGGTGGCACACAAACAATACAGTCAGACATAGACGGCGCTGATTATTCGAAACCTTGCGATTGTTAAACGCACTTCTTCCTTTGGGTGCCGTCCTGACGCACAGTTTGACCAAGATAAACGCAAATGGACTCGTCCGGCGCTTCATGTAAACTTACTCTTGAGTGAAGCTTTCGCGTTTTTTGTCATGTATATGGGTGCAATGGCCGGCGCTCATCTCGTATGGCAGGTAGACTTCGCCCGCGCATTCCCATAATATTTTTGCTAGGCGCGCCTGAGCGACAATCTATTTCTCAATATAATATTCGCAGCAAATTCATGCTTAAGCTTTTTTTAGCGTGGAGTACACACGTACCCGTGATAAAACGGTTTTTGCATATTCTGGCTCCACTCTGGCTTCAACGTTCTGTACTCAAATGCTCCCTGTCGCTGTGGCTCTCTTCACAGCTGCGGCCCACCTCATTTTTTTTTTTCTTCGTTCCATGGGAACAATACCTGCGTTTGCCTTTCACGCTCGAGTAGGAACAGCCAAAGGCTGAACAACCGACCATGATATATCAGGACGAAGATAAACGGGCGGCCGCGCGTGCGAATCCCGAATAATCTGAGGCTTGCGGCGAAGCGGTTCGCCGTCGTCTACTCTTCTCGAACCGGAAGCCGGTAGCAGACGGTGCATCCTACTACCCTCGCTCTTAACTGGTCACCTATTACTGAAAAGGTCCATTGTGCAAGGCTGGGGCGGAGCAAGGCTAGTTGGCACTGGCTTTTCCAGGTTTGACTAGGCACACGTTCACTCACACGTCCATGCATAAAATGTACACGCGATCACATTACGATTAACGAGTATAGGCTGAGTACCGATCGGGTTCCATTGAGAATCGCTTCGCAATCGCAGCACCAGGTACCTTATTTCCCTAAATAATCAATTGGCATAATTTGCATATTCGAGGCTTGGTCTTGATTAAGTTGCATTCTATGTTAACCTAAGCTCAATTAGCTAATTAACAGACTATACTTAGGTTCAGTACTAACTAGTATTAGAATACACTCCGCTTAGCTTGCCCGGCATGACTATAGGTGGGCAAAAAATCTCTGCTCCACTTAAGTAGGGTTTATTACAGTGTGATTTCATTAGCTTAGCTATGCGTCGTTAATGAGGATTTACAATGCTCAACATGGCTTTATAAGGCTTGGCTATGGTTGGAGTGGCTTAACTAGGCACCGTTGTTTTTGCTTGACACCACGGTCGCGCCAGCATGATCATGGTAGGCTGCCTATCTAGGCTTCTTCTCTACGTCGCAAACCGGACAAGCGATGGGCATATCACCGATGCTGTAAAGAAAAATAAGAAAGAACACATTTGGCTGCCTTTTCGAAAATTCCGTTGCAGTTGGGCAGCCTTTTTTTTTTGTGTGTGTGTAGAACGATTTTGTTGCCGTACAATTGGGGAACGACTAGACTCTTTAGAGGGACATTAAAGTCGAGTAACAAGTTATCTCAGAGGGAAAGCTCAATGTATGGCAACATCTAAATAACATCTAAAACGATAAAATTCTCAACAGCACTGTCCTACTTACCGAGAAATTAAGGTGAATGCACAAGAATACATGTGCCACAGTAGAATATTCTCAAAATGACCTCGATGACGTCAGACGAACCAACTACAGCTAATCACTAGCAATCGATCTAGCCGATATAAATAAACCTTCTGTGCATCAAGAGACTCAACAAAATGCTGCTTGTTCATTTCTGTTCGATTCATGCAAAAAAATAACAGCAGGACGTTACTATGGGCGAGTGGTTCAAATATTCAATTTTCGCGTGGTTAAACTGGACAGGCCGTACCATCTAGCGAGGTGTAGTTGAACCAAAACACGTCTGCCATCTCGGAGCCAACGGCAGGAAATCGATGAATGACCGTTGTTGCTGTTGTGGCTCCCGCTGCTTTCGTTCTGTCTACCAGTGTCGGCGACCGCGCAGTAAAGCCGGACAACGTTGTGCACGGCAACAGTGCCGTGGTCGGTCCGCTTCTTGAGGCAGGTAATTTGAAGTTCGCTAACTCGATGCGAACCACTAAAACGTGATTTTATTTCAAAAGAAGTGCTTCCTTGGCACAAAGTCACTACGAGGTTTTTGAACCGCTATTTCAACTATCAACGTTAACTTACAACTCACCGGTCTTACCTCTGTCCTCGTTGAGGATGAACAGCGGCAAACCAAGCCACGTCTCGAACTTTTAAAGACGATAGTCCTTTTTGGGGACCTTCGACGCAAAAATTTTTGTCTGTCTGTCTCTACATTTGTCTGTTTGTCCACTCTTAAAAAGGCATCGGGTACTTGAAACGGGCGACCCCATCCGCAGCGCCCACCTATGTTGCTCAAGGGTGAGCGTTCGTGCTTGTGCGCTTGTCAATTAAAATCAATTATTGCGCATGTCTGGGGCACCATAACAATTCGTATGTATTTTGTATGTGGGCCTTCTACTAGAAAAAGCATACATAAGTAATTTTAAGGACCGTAGCGCTTATCACAGTGCGCTGACCATGCAAAGCTTGCACGGAAAGACGAGTGTTTCCAACGCTATGCTAAAACGAGACGGTGGTGGTACCTACACGTCGCCTTGCGTTCTACACCTTATCACCTCTGAGATGGGCGCGCACACCTGTCTCGGAGCCACGCGCTCTGTTAAAAAAAACTGCCAGATGGCGCTCATGTCTCACATGTGATAGGGTGCCTGAATGGTTTCCCTCGGAGCGGCGGGCGAGGGAAACCATTCAGGCACCCTAACATGTGACCTGACTTGATGCACTCGTTCGCCTCCGCTGCACGCTCGAGGCACTCGTAACGCAGCGCCTTCAGAATACCATTCACCAATTTGCTTGCTCAGAACATCAAATAAAAGTCTTGTTCACTCACTCCACACGCAAGACTATCCTCTTTCGACATTTGCAGATTACATGCAGATACAGGGGCCAATTTTTTCTTTTGCTTTTTTTTCCTTTCTTGTCGTGACCCATTTCTTGACATCGCCCGATATTCAAAAATGATAACGGTCATGCGCCACATGATGCAAGACTAGTGAACTAAACGCCAATGCCCGTGAAAGCTGGACTTCTTCCTTGGACCACCACCAGGGCAGGGCAGTCTCAAGGGGTAGAATTATATAATAGTCAATGGCTTCCAGGACAGTTTTAGGACATTGTGTTCAGCCTCTGATATTTTTAGTACACCTGGTCTTAAGTAAGAATTATTGACATAATTAAGGTCTAGTTTGCTTAAGTTGCTTGATATTTCAGGCACAAGTCAATAAGTGAACCTCCAACGTGTATATATATGATCTATTATTTCATCATGCAAACCAGTTGTCAGTGATCAATGTGTCCATTATTGACACCTCATTCGGCCGCTGCTGGGCACATTTTAACATTTTCACACCCGTTTTTCTCATTCACCCTTAGGTGCCGATATCTTAAATGTCCGTCACCATTCCCCAGACAAGTTTTTGAACATTTTTAGTGCCTTAGTACTATAAAGAAGAGACTTCAGTCTATTCCTTGACACACCGAGGAAGTATTTTTGCTCACACAAGCAGAGACGAGAAACTACACAAAGTACTGCATGCAAGGAACCATCAGCACTGAGGTCATCAGCACCACCAAGCACAAATATTGCTTTCATGAATGTATTCACTCTATTTTTGTTGGCAACATGTTCCCATGCTCAGGACTGCAACAAAAAACTGTTGCTGCACGTAGCACACAACATGCAGCTATACAAGGCAGGGTTTTGCCAGAGATTACATTTTGCCGAGAACAACCATGATAACCACAGACATGCAGTCTCACGCACAAAAAAAATCACAAACACGAATTTTGAAATGTTGAAGGACACTCTTTATTGTTCGCAACGGTACGTCGCATTTGTGGGGAATATATAATCCTACATGACTAATGACAGTGCAGATGACAGACATCTCTTGTCAACTTCTCATATAGAACTCTATTCACAAATAAATAGAGCCGGCATACAAACACGATGAGTACACACTGTGTTTTATATACACTGAGCACAGTTGAATGTGCAGGATAAAGTCTGCACAGTTCAGACACACAACAGTCACAAAAAAATTCCATCAAAAAGGGCACAAGAGTTTAAAAATCGTCATAGAACATCACTACAGGGCCTAGCATTGTTTTTCCAAGAAGCTATCCGATGCGAAAATATCGTACACATTATGTATATACTTTATATGTATAACAGGAAACACACAGTTGCTACTGTAGCTCGACATTGCTTGAAAGAGGGCAAACAGCAGCAAAATAAAAACCGCTGCAGCCACACTACCATGATTTCTGCTATATAGTTCTTTTCTGTTGTCATTCGTCTGCATTTGCGCACACCAGGTTACCCAGAATAGTTCACCCTCTGTGTGAAGACCTCCCAAGACATGCAAAATTGGAGCTGCTGCTATTAGCAGCTTTTGCAAACACTCCCATACAGTCATTCAAGCCCAATACACGTGCTCAGCTAACTACAGGCTATAACTTTCACAAAGACCTTTCACTGTCACAAAGAACTGGCAAAACTGTACATTGAGACTGACTTGCTGGAGTTCACAGCAAGTTCTCTTGATGTTACAGTAAAGATAAGAAAAAAGCTAGCTCATACTATAGGTATACGACACATATTCTTCCTTGCCACCCAAAATCGAGAGTTTAAGTCCGGCAGTGATTAAAATGCTCAGTGTTCACTTGTGCTGTGTAAAGATCACATTCTCACTCTGAATATAGATATACGACACGAGACAAAAGATATACAACATGAGGCAAAAAATATACGACATGAGGCTACCCCTCCTCTTAAGGTCAAATAAATAAATAGTATAAACACAGTGTCAAACACAAGGTCGAATAACAACACAATCAGCATCAGCGAAAAACTTCCCAAGCAAGGAAATCGGGCGACAATGCAATGGAAGAAACTTTGGTGATGCATTGTCTTGCAGGAAGTAGAGACCATTGGACCCTTACAGAAAGTGGAAAGCGAACACAAAAAGAAAAAAAAGTTATTTGAGCAAAACCCACATTTGCCCTACCAGGCATGGCAATATATAGCAGAACAACTTATGCACGCTGAGAACAAAGAACCATACATGGAAACAGATAAAAAGAAAAAAAAAACAGACATGAATGATTGTGCAAAAATGTAGCAGAATAGTGCTCACTAGCTACTGTTTCAATGAATATAATCTGCTTGTCGTTTACAGCAACCCACAAAAATAGCCTGGAAAGATTCATTAGGGCAACTGCTAGACCGAACTGCACTCCTGAAGTTGCTGCTGTAAAAAAACCGAACAAATGAGAGTGTTGCCAACTTAAAAAATGAACACACCTCACATTAGTACACATCGACAGATATTTGACTTTCAAGTTGTTAGTGAAAAGACAGAATAATTATCTTATCTGTTCAGGTAGTAAAGACAGCCTGTCACAGAGCTACCTAAAAAATTTTTTTCGCCCTTCCTACGGAAATCCAGGATGTTAAGAAAACACTTGTTCAAATGGATGCAATGGAAGACATACGCAACAAGTTTTTCCTTCCATTCACATAATGGTGGGGTCAGTTGTAGGTTTCAAAAAAGAAAGATTTCAGGAGGCGACAACAGATTTCAGGAGGTGACAACAGATTTCAGGAGGTGACAACAGATTTCAGGAGGTGACAACAGATTTCAGGAGGCGACACCAATGATGCACAGCTTCTATCGCATAGTAGCAATATCAGATTGCAACAGGGCAGCATAAAAATTGGCATCTCTGCCAGGTGCAGACACTAGTGCACATTTTTTTTTTCACATGCAAAATATGAACACAAAAGTCAGCCACCTAAAAGCCTCAGCTGAGTTCAAACACTTTAGTGGCAGAAGCCACACGTACACCTGCTGAAGTAGAGGTTTTGCTATCACACCATGAAACAAGCTTACTGTTACACTAGAAGAGTCCAAAACATGTAAACCAGTGATATATCAACAGTTGACTGAAACACTTATGAGTATTAAAAAGCAAACATGCCCAGAAAAAAACCTAAGGTGTCTTGGATTATTCACTTTCACAATGTTTACAATAAATGATATACATTCATTCACACATGTATCACTGTTTCACAAGTCGCGATGAAGCATGACACATCCTGCGATCAATCTACAGCGCGAGCATAGTGTTCATTGTGAACAGCAATATAACACCATGCCAGTGTAGTCAGGACAGCTATCCGTTTAGAAGTGCCATCTTGTGTTAACACATCTGGAGTGCATGACCACATCTCCCCCTCCACAAAAAAAAAAAAGGTAGCAAGGCATGGCATTTCCAATAACTTCCGAATTTTAGGACGTTTAAGCCGCAGCCCATTTATTCATTAATAGGCCAGAAGTTCCAAAATTACAAAAGGACAGTGTACCCCTAACAAGTAACACAAACTAGCAGCAAATTAAAACTCGATCTGACAAAACCCAATTTTACAAGTTTTCCAAACGGAAAAATTTCCATTCCCTCACACATACCTATAGAATTCAACACAGTCATCAACTGAAATTAAAATTTCAAGGCCCCGTACTTAATTTTATGGAATTGGCTCTGTACTTAATCCTACGCAATTTTTTCTTAAGTGAATGAGCGAAAATGCGGCGATTTTTCAATTTTCACAGACTGCTTTTTTTCAGACGCACATCGTAATGTATGACATCAAAAGATCTAGCCACCCTATAGTCACAAAACTAGTTTTACTTGGACCAGGCTGCATGCTACAGTCTGTAATGCATTTAATTATCAAATGGCACTGGGTGTTACTGCTTCGTTGTCCCTGCCATTACCAACCCAGGAACAGGGTGGTAGCTTTCTTTAATAGTTAATATGAGGGATGGCACTGGTCGCCTCCTTGAAACTTTCCTGCTCTACCTGCTCACACTTTGATGGCGTTTGTTCGATTTGTCCGAATATTGGCAGCTTGTGGGAGCTTCACGCGATCATCTGCCTCACCTTTCTCACCAGGACATGAGAATATTTCATACTCGAGATGAAGCCGTGGATGATTCACCTGTGTAGGTGTGTATCGCAAATAAAATTCTGCAGCAACTGCCAGGCCATGCTACAATATAATTGTAGATTTCAAGGACCAAAAAAATCTACAATTTTACGAACTTCCCAATGTAATAAAATGCCTCAGCATCACTTCGTTAAATCGACCTTCAGCTATACTAAAATAACAGTACCATATGGGTACAGCGCTTGCATAGGCATACACAAACTAGCAGTCGAAACAAAATAATCAATTCACCGTCGCTGCGAACCTCACCGACAGACATCTTTTGTGCCACATCTATCGTTCCCTAAATACATCCCTAAATTTATTCAGCAGGCCTCTTCAATATTATGACCTTATTATGAATAATGCAGAAGACTTTATGAGCATAACGATAAGAAAGTAAATTAAGCCACAGCTTTGAATACACAAAAACACTAGTTGCAAGAAAGCCCGATGTTGCTCAAAGTATTGTGCAAGCGCTGGAATGTGTGAGAAAATGAGAAGCTAGTGTATGCACATTACAATTACGCATGCCTTAAGAATTTACACTATCATGTTGACAGTCCTTGAATATTTTATGGGGCAAGTTTCTTTCCCTACACAAGTTAGAATATTCAGCATAAAATTACCATGTCTGTACACAGAGAATAACCTCTCATGCAGTGCATAAACGAGTTCTGTGCACTGGTGCCTCACAGCATTGAGAAATATCACTAATAGTTATCTGCAACTTCAAATAGGACAATAAACATGTCTACTAGTCTTCACAATGTAAATTAGACATCATCCAAAAAAGACACCTTGCCATGTTTCTCTCAACATAGAAATTGTTGCATCTGGCCCCATTTACTACCGCATTAGTGCTTGCTGCGTACAATAACCATTTCTTGAGAGCATACGTTCAGTCCCAATGACTAAGAAAAAGACACTCTGTAGAACAGTCTGCCAAGTATGTCCACATATGCAAAGTTGCATATGGTCTTCTCAAAGTTTTTGTTCGCAAACATTCCAAGACTTAAGATATCCCTACAGCATTGAGCTAACCCACCACCAGTCTCACGATGACAATTTCTGCAATCTTTCTTGTTATGACAGTGCAATCAGCGATAAGTTCATATTGGGCGACAGCACGCTTTGTTGCCACTAGCTTCCAGGAAGCCAACATGCTTCTCAGAAGAGGGTAATGAGGGCCACCTGGTGGTTGCGTCTGTGCTCCTGCTGCTGCTCATGCTGGCTGCTCCAGATGATGTCGGTACTGGTGGCAGCTGGCGTGGGGCCAGTCAGTGGCGCCACTCTGGGCCCTGAAACCTTCGGCTGGCTATCTTGGCCCAGGTGTGCAGCGGATGTCAGTGCCACTTTGCCTTTTGGGCGAAGATGTCTGCCCGTAAATTTTGGGCAAAACAGATGCCTAAAATCTGCAGGTGAAGGGAGGGAGGAAAAAAAAAAAAGCTCTTCATGAAAGTGATGGCAACAAGATACACTGTCTATGGGAAAGCACATCTGTATTCTAGCCTTATGCTTTATCCAGTACTATACGACTCTTGGATTGTGCTCAGGTTTAAAATGGCCTTAAGTTAATTGTTAAAGGTTTCAGTGCATAATTAAGGATATCCTATGACGAAAGACAGCTCCCACTGTGTGGGCTTGCACTCCTATTTCTGAAGCAGAACTAATAAAAATGATGTTCTGAGGCTGTATAAAGTATGAAGAGCAAAGCATTCAAGCCCCCTAACTACCTAGCTAAAATTTGTATATGCTGGCAGTCACAGGGCTATTTTCAGTGAGCCTCCCTTGATAAGTATTATTGAAAAATATTTCACTGGTGCTTAAAAGGGTGGTGACACCGAATTTCGAGGCTATCCCAAGCCTGTTGTGGGTTTCCTCTGTATGCAAGGACTCTCCACATGAAGAGTCAGACACAACAAACGTGTAGAATATTTTTTAATTCACTTCTAAAAGCGTAGCTGAATGCTCACTTTCGCGATCTCGTTTCAGAATAGGAAAAGCAACGAGAGTTTTCGTGACATCACACCAGATTTGTAGTGACGTGAGTGACCTTTGCTATCTCCAAAACGCATTTTGTGAACAAGGAGAAAACTAGCATGCCTGCTGTTATGAGTGTGCTGGCACCCCTTGCAGAGACACTGTGTGTGTCCATCAAGGCCTCTGAGTACTTTCGAAAAGACACTCGACGCGTGGTTCAGAGACGCTGCGCTCATACAACAGCGAGGCTGTCTCATCCTCCATCATCCCAGAACCTATAAAAGCCGGCGCACCGAGCGTCGGGCGGCTTCCTCATCTACGTTCTGTACATACGTTGTAAATATAAATGATTTGTTTCCTTCTTGCTGCCTTTTTTGCCTTGCCACTGCCTTGATGCTACCGCAGGTGGCCATGGTGACTGTCAGTGCGTTTTTTTTTCTGGGGCTTGGTGTGGCACGTGTCTACGAGAGCAGACAAAACTCAACACAATGTGCGTCACAGGCTTGTGTGCTCACGTGACCAAGCCACCTATACATCGACGTCACTGCCCAACTCAGCACCACAAAAGCGAAACCGAAAATGGTCCACATAACTAGAGCAATATTACATTATTTAGCGAAAATACACGACTCTTGGTGTGTGTATCATGCTTCCTGGAGCTGAAGGAAACGCTTACAGCAAAGAACACGCACGCCACAAATTTGGTAGCCTCATGTCGTACATTTTTTGCCTCATGTTGTATATCTTTTGTCTCGTGTCCTATATCTATATTCAGAGTGAGAATGTGATCTTTACACAGCACAAGTGAACACTGAGCATTTTAATCACTGCCGGACTTAAACTCTCGATTTTGGGTGGCAAGGAAGAATATGTGTCGTATACCTATAGTATGAGCTAGCTTTTTTCTTATCTTTACTGTAACATCAAGAGAACTTGCTGTGAACTCCAGCAAGTCAGTCTCAATGTACAGTTTTGCCAGTTCTTTGTGACAGTGAAAGGTCTTTGTGAAAGTTATAGCCCTTTAAAGGGACGGTCTACCGCCCTTCACCGTCTTTTGTTTTGTATTGCAATTGAGATCATACTATCTGGAGTGTAACCTAGCAGCGGTATCTCAGGAAAGAAATTTTAAATGCGAAGCTTTTCTTTGCGTACTGCAAGAGCTTTTGGCGCCTATTTGCGTATCTATGTATCTGTCTAGCCGCTAACATTTGGGTGCTCTCGTTATTAACCCCTTAACTTAGCGTGACCCAAAATTAGCATGGGAGGATAAGATAGCTTGACGAATATGACATGCCGGTCACGACATAAATAAAATTTTACAATGTTATCGCATACGTTGCCAAACACTTCCCGTTAAACAGTGGCACATACCCACGTGCGGTATGTGCCATAGCCGATCAGCACTTAATACTCCAAAAATTCGGACTTTTTGTATATTTCAGACTTCAAAAGTGCACCGTCAGGGTTTCCATAGGGCTAATGCATTTTTTCGACCGATTTTTCGGACGAATTCGCCCCGTAAAGTTGGATTTTTCGGACTAAATCGCTTGTTTTGAGCAGTGCCACGAACCTGTATGGACGCCGCCATGTTGAATTTTCTGCCGACTTGACTAAGCTTCGTGGCTTAATTTTAAAATGGCTTTCCTGCCTCCAAAATTGGAAAGCAAACGTTATATTTAAAGTTTTGGAGGCCATGTCTGCTTTAGAAAACGTGGCGCAGGACCATTTTCTCGTCTTCGGTCAGCCGTAGTGGTACAGTGTAATAGTGGTCAACACTGTTGTCATCGCACCGTACAGGGAGGAGGCGGAGCTGTGCAGTAGTGGAGTGAATGTGCCTGCCACAATGACATTAGGGAGTTTTAGAATAGCGCAACGTGAGCCCTTGCGGTGTGGTCGCTGCCACGGCACATACGTCGTAACGCGAGTAACTGATCGCGGCCCGTGAAGTGTTGTGTGTAGCTTCTGTGCATTTGAGTTTGCGGCCGGGGCGAATGTCCCTAGACCTTTCCCTAGAGGGAGCAAACGCTATTCTAGAACTCGGAATGTGTCCGCTATACTCGCAGCGCCTGCAAACATTATTCTAAAACTCCCTTCTTAAAGATTTCACTCGTGCGGACGATGACAATTTATGTGCGCGGAGCCCACAGACCAAGAAATTCTTCGCCAGGTTGTGCCGCAGCCAGAGAGCGGTTCGGATGATGACGACGATCGCCCGCAGCTGTCATCAGCGGAGATTCGCCAGTGCGGCGACGCTTTTGTCGAGCATTTACGGTGATATGTCAGCATGGCGCAAATATGGACGAACCGAATTGCTACTAAGCGTAGTATAAGGCAAGGCAGAATCGTAGACTTTTTAAGCCTGCCTGAAGCAATAAAGTTCATATTTCCGACAAAAACGAATTTTTCGGACTTTTTTTTGGTCCCCGCCAGGTTCGAAAAAGAGGTCGGCGACTGTATCTACCCAAGAACACCGAGAACACACATTGGCAATAGACCTCTACCGGGGTGCGTCACAGCGTGATGTCACCGGTGCACGTGAGAGACGATGGTTGGCAAATCCCTCCCGCCGGTGGCTGAGTGGGGTGCAGTCACTTGGTGCTTAAGGCAAGTTTTTTTTTTTTTTTGAAAGCCTAATATTCATCTAACAGTAGCAAAATTAGCTGTGGTATGTGTCCGAGAACATCTAGGTGTGTGATAAAGTGCGTGACGAAATGTTCGCCACGCTGGCTGTTTATCTTTAAGAAGTGAACACACGTGGCGGCCTGTGCGAGGAACAGTCTGTGCGGCCTGTGCGAGGAACAGTTGTCTTCGAAAATGTGCAGCATTGACTGTGGTGTGCAGTGTGCGTTGAAAGGCATCGCAATATTGGTTCAGCTTAACGAATGGTGAAACTGGGAATATTGTGCATGGTGTGTGCAGTGTGAATAATGCGATGCGTCCTGTTTGCCAAAACACCGGTATTCGTTGTGGGCCGGTTTCAGTAACCAGTTGTCAATAAAACTTTACGATCTGACATTGTAGTCAAGGTAAATATACATTTGATGCAATCATCTGCGAGTGGGTACATCTCAGCGTATGCGCGGCCTGCAGAAAAATAAAAGTGCATGATCTGCGGGTGATATACACTACTATGCACGAGCTATAAGCATGTTGTAGCATTGCCGAATCTGCATATATGCTTCGCGGCGGCTATGCCTATATATGGAATACCTGATGCGCGTTAATGGAAACAGCGGAGATTTCCATTTTTTAGCTACTTTGTAGTTTTACGGTTTGATCCTTATGAAGTGACAATGCGCATTAGAAGTGTGTATCAGGCCTAAAGGAGGAATATAGGTACGAGAACACGGCATAGGTGTCAAATGCAGCAAGGTAACTGTGCAATATAATATTACGTATTATTAGGTTGTCGGGTTTTACATCACATGAATGTTCACTGGGTTATTAAGGAACGCAGTGGCAGAATTTCACTTTCATTTTCACGAGGATATGCTAACCTCAGCCTAACCCACGGCAAGAAGTGTTTTTTTTTTTATTCATCTCCTATCAGACTTTTCGGCAATGAGTGAGAATCTCATCCGTGACGTCGCGCACAGCAGCTCAAAACCATGCTGCCACCAATGCTGTACCTCGTTTAAAACTGCATTGCATATACCACGATGGAAATTGCATGGCATAGATGTAAACTTATTGAAACATTTCTCAATGTACCAGTAACCGTGTAAATTTAAAACGTTTGCTTTCGAAAAAGATCAGATTTTTCATGGCTGCCATCTACGTGCGTGAAGCCCACCGCGTGCTAGTCGTGTCTCTCACTACTCTAAACAAAGTTATCCCTCCATCCAACTACTACGAGTAAATTTCCACACTATGAGCAGTGACCCTTCCGCGACCCCATTCTTCCAAAAGCTGTGACTTTAGCACATAGCAATGTAGAAATTTCTGTCGAAATAATGCAGACACGCAGTTCTGCTGTGCAGAAAGATGCCGCTGGAGGAACTTTCTTGCCAACCAGCACCTGCTTCGAGAGAGGGTATGGGGGGCGGGTGCCCACAGTGACGTCACACTGTTTACAAACAGGGAGAGGTCTACTTCAATGCGCGAGCGTTAAGAAAAACCTGGCATTGGCAGCATCGATCCGACAAATGCATCTGATAAATGTCAGGGTCCCAGCAAGAATCGAACCCATGCCCCACCACAGTGGTCAAGTGGCTAAGGTACTCTGCTGCCGACCCGCAGGTCGCAGGATTGAATCTCCGCTGCGCGGCTGCATTTTCGATGGAGGCTAAAATGCTGTAAGCCTGTGTGCTCAGATTTGGGTGCACTTTAAAGAACCTCGAATGGTCGAAATTTCTGGGGCCCTCCACTATGGCGTCTTTTATAATCATACGGTGGTTTTGGGATGTTAAACCCCACATATCAATCAATCAACCAATCTAACTCGAGCATTCTGAATGACAATCAAGCATTCTACCACTGAGCCACACCAGGTCTCCGAACTGCTTTTCGAAGCGACTCTAATGGTATTGAAATGTTAATTGTGGTTGCAGTGCTGGCTATCCAATTTTATAAACATAACATATGTACTCCCATGATACAACCATCTCGTCAGGTAAACATCACTGTGTAGTTAGGTGCCATGCTCCGATTTTCATTTAAATAGCAGTGTCCAAGGCTACCATCCTCGCGAGCACCAGCGCTTCTTATCAGCTTTTAACTTCTGGTGTTGTTCATATTGAGGGTCCTGTTGGCACTACAGCACAAGTGCAAACAGCTGGTTATATAAACATCTGCAACTCTTCAACATATCTCTGTGTGTGCAACAGTTATACATATATTTCTCGTCATTTCATGGCGCGTCTCTCATGAAAAACATTACAATATGGTCACCTTCCCTCTGCATGCTTCGAATAACTTCGATACCCAAGGTACGCGAGATCTGCCGGATTTTTTTTAACAGTTTTCTTTTATTTACGTTCAGCCTTTTTCAAACTTGGTGCCCACAGCACTGGCTAATGCATGCAATGACAACTGTTGTGCTGGTGTAAGTCAAGAATGGGAAATTCCTGCAATTTACACAGGATTTTGTTTTTGTTTAATTATTGTACTAGCTGCTTAGAGCTCACCTATCACTCAAAGCAGTAAACATTACTCTGCGATGCATGAAAAACTGCCAGAGGTGCATAAAATACAGTTTTGAGTCATGCGCCCCCGTTTTCATGCAAATTGTCTACCTGTGCGAGTTTTTCGCTTCTTCAGATCACTTGACCTACATCAATGTAGTAGAGGTAATTTTGTCATTGCTGTGAGAGACAAATTAAAAGTTTCTTGTGGTGCAAAAGCATGCCTGTTGCCACCTACGTGACAATCTTCTCATTTTCACCAAACTAAAAAATTTTTCAAAGCTGTAGACCATCCCTATAAAGAAACAATTTATTACAGCATGTGCAATACCCTACTCTCTGCAATGCATACCCTCAATTATGTGCATTCAGCTAGAACAGCTACCAGTTGCAAAGCAATGTCTGCATTACTTTTTATTTCATGGCTGGCTGTCCCGGCAAAGTCACCATGACAGCACCTGTGAATGCAGTTTCCTTCGACCTCCAATTTATCACGTCGTCGTCCTGCGATGTGCAGCTCGCAAGTTTGCTACCTATGCATTTATTTGCTTTGTATTTACGTTCTGAAGCTTTGAGAGCAATGTGTTCATCAGTATTTTGCAGCGTTTCCAAGATTCACTCTAAATTCCTCGATTTGGTTGATTTGCGAGGTTTAACATCCCAAAACCACCATATGATTATGAGAGACGCCGTAGTGGAGGGCTCCGGAAATTTTGACCACCTGGAGTTCTTTAACGTGCACCCAAATCTGAGCACACGGGCCTACGACATTTCCGCCTCCATCGGAAATGCAGCCGCCGCAGCCGGGATTTCAGCCCGCGACCTGCGGGTTAGCAGCCGAGTACCTTAGCCACTAGACCACTCTAAATTCCTCAAAGACAAGGCTTAGCAGGTATGGCTATATAGCACAGCTAATCTCAATAATACAGACAGAACACACCTGATGCTCTGTAGCCCAGCTTGAAATGACGTGACGCGATATCTGAATTACAGGAAGTGATATCTGATTTCATAGTTCACTTATTGTGAAGACACTGGGCGAGTAGCCAGCAAGAGCTCAGATGAAAGCGGGCGATTGCGTCTGCATGGTTGCTTCAATGTTGGCTACTAACCCTGGCTACTGGTAGTTTCTAGTACAACCATTAAGGAAGGAAAATAAATTTAAGGGCTCATTTTCTTTTTTAGACACAGTACTAATGAGAACTAAGAGACAATAATGCCAAGAAAAGTATAGGGAATGTTATTATACGTAATTGTAGTGTCAATGTGTGGAAAAGTGGACGAAAGTTACCTTGTTGATAAATCTGTTGCTAATACAGCGAGTGTTCCACACTCTCCGTAATGGCAACAGATCGAGCCAACCGATGCTTCCGCGTTTAAATGCACAATTATACCATATAAAGTGAACGGCGGGATGACTGCCACCATAGCTCAGAGGTAGAGCATCGAATACATAATTGGAAGGTCGCAGGTTCGGTTCCTGCCGGTGGCAAGTTATCTTTTTGTTCACTTTTTTTTTTCTTCACATTTACATTACAATCATTTCTAATAACATTACCGATACCTTTTCTCACATTTTTGTTGGTTAGTTATTATTATTGTGTAACATTTAAAGACATACTTTACAAATTCAAAGTAGAATAAGCATATTACGTATTACTGAGGCGTAGCACGTACCAAACAAATGCAGATGTTTCGAAGTTATCAACTTTGGGGTGCTTAAATGGAGAACTGTTTTGCTGTACAGCCACGGCCATGTCCATATAGAGCAAGCGAGCAGCCAGTTTTTGCTTAGCGGGACGACACCTGGAGACCGTTTCGGGCTCTGACAGTCTATGTCAGGAACATGCGCAGCCTAGCAGCAAAGCTGACCATGTCGGAGCCCGAAACTGCCTCAAGCTCTACACAGACGTGGCCACTGCTGTACAACCTGCTGCAACCAGATTGTGTGGTATAGCCACAGCCACTTCGCTGGTCCAATGCATTGGCTGGAACAACTGGCTGGGGCAAGGAGAGTGAAGGTCACGCGATTAAATATGGCAGCGCCCATGTGTAGCTGCGAAAAATTGCATAATATTCCAATAATTTTGTTTGAGCAAAGCACTGCAATGAACTTCACATTTTGCATGTCTGTTATGCCATCGATTTTTCCTCATTCTGAAGTGCCTGCTAGTAGGCTGGATTTTGATAAAAAATAGAAGCAAATGATAAGAAGGCATCACTCATTTGAAAAGTTTTTTTTAATGTTGCACATTTCTGCCGGTCTTAAACCAGTCGCAACTACAAAGCAACTGAAACCTTACAAGCATTTAGTACACTGATCCCGAATATGAAATTCAACATGCCACGAGGCAAAACATTTCAATTTTCGCTTTAAACCCAGTTAAGAAGTGCAAATTATGCACTCTTGATAAATGCATCACATTTCTCAGTTTCACACTATTCCCAAGAGCGCTTGTGCAACTGTTGGTGGCACAAGTGTGCTTGAAAAAGGCCTATTGAATCACGAAAGTATATGCAATAGTGATGTATTGACTGCAAGCATTACGAGAAGACAGTATCCTTTCACCACAGCTGTCATCAAAAGTTTTTAAGTGCCCCGCCGAATGCCTCTACCAAAATGATCTCTCGAAATGAGCAGAAAATGAGCAGCAGTCTGTGAGGTTAAATGAAGACTAATTGAGAATATGCACTGGGTGAACTGAAGCCTTTTTGCAATGTCTACTGCCTTTTTTTTTTTTGCTAGTTTGAAACAACTGTTACAAAATGTAGCTGCTACGGCAAAACTGTTACAAAAATACTGGTTCACCTGATGCTGATATACAGTGATCAAGGCTGTAGCATCCTAAAATTTAAGTGATTTGATACTCTGCTGACATGCATCTTTTAAGTGCAACCATTAGCTGTAAAGATTATATTCAAATATAAGCTTTAAATATAGTGCTACATTAAACATTTATTTTGTAAAACCCACATATATCAAATCTCAAGGGCATCCAAAAAATAGAGAATTCAATACACTCAAGCCTCAATATAACAAACTTGGATATAATAAAATATCGGTTATAAAGAAGTAAATAGTCTTGCAATAGGCATAGTGTTAGAAATAGACATTTATAACAAACTTTCATATAATTACTTTATTTTTATGCAAGATGCAACTTTGTTATAACAAGGTATGAGTATATATCCCTTTAAAGTGCAAATTACGATGCACTGTTGTCAGCAAATGCGTCCAATTTGCATGGCCCGACTCCAAAGCACCCAACTTGACATTCCAAGAAATAAAATGAATGAATGTTTCGCGAGAGTTTCAGTAAATAATTTTGATTCACATGTAATTAAATATCTAATTATCCTGCAATCAGACGGCTTCAATTCTTGCATAACAAGAATCAAGTGCGAAGCCCAAAATGCACGCACAGTTCTTCGGTAGTACTCAATTCGAGCAAAGAAAAAAATGCTCTTGTCGTTGGTTCTAAAATACGGCACATGTAACATTAAGCATTATAATGTTTCCATTAAAACGATCCTCTGCAGCAATATGCAGCCCAAACGTTCAATGGATGTTTGTTGTCCTCTCAGGAAGTCTCCATGAATGTGCACATCCAGTTTCAAGCCACTTGAAGAAACACGTGGTGAATATGGGTATCTGAAGTTTAAATCTACAAGTGTACACAGGGCACCTGAAGGGGATGCAAAATATATCGTACATCAAAAATATTTGAAAGGGATTGTACAACTATTCAACATACGCAATAATTTCTTATGTGTGGGTTCGAAATATGCAAGTTTGTCTATATATTACAATATATATTAGTTACCAAACTAAATTCACTTCAAAGTAGTTAACAAGGCTGAGGTCAAAAGCAATGTGAGGCATTGTTGTTAGTAGAGAAAAAAACAATGCAAATCCAGTAATTACGCATGTTATGTGCTGCCAATGTTTAGCTATTCACTGAAGTGAATTTCCGCATTGAATTATTATGCTTGAAAAAGAATGATTTTCAGCGGGTACACCAGATTAAGTACGTATAGCAAGATTTTCCTCTATGTAGTGCAGGTAACAGCAGTGTTGGAAATGATGTCACTAAGACAAATATGCAAATTTGAAAGCCCTGTCAATGTGAGAAGAACTTGAAAATGCATTTTTGGCAAATAAATGTACATTAGACCCAATATGCTAGACACCAGTACGAGAGTTACTCTGGTACTGGTGTCTAGATATGTGAAGTACAAGAACAAAACTTCAGAACTGATTAATGGAAGATACATGGCCCACTGACCTGAGCAAAGGCCACTACTAAGAGTGCGCCTGACAAAGGAACCAGGTTCACCTCTAACCATTCCTCCCCAACCTGCAGGCAACCTCGCTCATATATGAGGCGCGAACGTTGAGACTTGTCCTAAAAAAGTCACGATGAGCGACAGCTTGTCAATACTAACTGTAGAGCTCAGCTCACACTAAAGCTAACCATCTCCAGGTTTACCTGCCACCATCAGTTCCAAGCGTCCACCCCTGAACATCCATATCAATACTATAAGCCGAACACAATGCAATTTCACATGTGCTCTATAGTCCTTTATGAAAGGGAACACTGGAGCGCGTGGCCACTGCTCTGCGGAGGCCACCTACAGCGCTATCAACCGACAGCGAAAGAAAACACGTTCGCTATCAGCGTCATCTATCTGTGAACAAAATAACCAGCCACGGCCGGTAGAAAGCGCTGCTGGATTATGCTCCCGCTACGATAAAATAACCGGCGATGCCTGCAGCGCATCGTCTGTTGCGAACAAGTCGAGCGTGGTGTGCTACACTCGTAAAAGCACCGTCTCTCGGCTTGCACGAGTTGCGCTTCGACGAAACTAGGGATGTATAAGGAAGAGGGATACACTCAGGAAAAGGTGCGGTTGTGGTTTATCACTGAATGATACATAGTGTCACTCAGTGATACTCTATTATCTGAGCTCCATGCCTTCGCCTTGGAGCTCTAACATTTCCATAAGCCATCAACCAATACATTTCTGAGAAATTGATACACAGCAAATACAGTGCTGCAGTGAACAAAGATGAGAATGTTCATGTAAATATCCTTTAGCTTCCCCTATGTTATATCATCTACGTTGCAAATAAATATACAAATGATGTTTTCTCGAGATACTCGCTCTAGGGAAACCCTGAGACCGACCGTGCCTGGTCCTGATCCCATAATTTGAGCATTTCCGTCCATCCAAGGATATGAGTGAACATAAAGACGATGGTCGCAATTCCACTCGACTAAACTGTGACTGTGTGCATCCTGAAAACGCTGCATGGTTTTCAGGCGAGCGGCAGCGCTGTTATTAGTTGAGTCGGTGAACCAAGTTCGAGTCGAGAAACAATTAGGGATACCAGGGCAAAGCTAGTGATTGTGCTAGTTTACACGAGTAACAGATGAACTTGAAGATGCTGCGAAAGGAAAATTTTGGACGTTCAACTCGTTGCCTGCCGACTTGATAAGAAGGAATATGGGGCATACAACAATGCCTTACCCTGAGTGCATACCTTTCTCCTATACATCTGTAGTACCGTCAAAGCGCAACTCGCGTAAGTCGAGAGACTGCGCTTTTACCTGTATGCTGTGCTCACTCACCATACTCGATTTGTTTGCTCCAGACGACACACTGCAGGCAGCGCCCGTTGCGCTATCGTAGTGAGAACGTAATCCAGCAGCGCTTCTCTACCGGCCGTGGCGAGCTGCGAGTCATGACTGGTTATTTTGTTCGTTGATAGATGACGCCGAAAGCGAATGTGTTTTCTATTTCACTCTGTTGATTGTGCTGTAGGCAGCCGCCGCTCTGATCTCGTGTTCCCTTTCATAAAGGGCGACAGAGTACAGTCGTCACCACATGCCTACAATGGCAGAGCGCCCGCACAAAACAGCACGAACGACACCTGCAGTTTGAAAATGACCACATCAGAGCATGCGCGGTGCCCCAGAAGTGTCTGTGCCTTGCAATTTCCTTTTTTGTTTATCACTATGACTGCGATAATTGCTTTAGCAGTTTGAAGCGTTGTCAAGTGCATAGCACCAGAGAAAATGAGTGCAATCGCCCTGATCAGTACCTTTTACATTGCAACCTATTCTTGGTTCTTTGAATTGTATCATAGCAAGAACAGTTCACTTTGCATTTTCTTTTCTCTTTAGTAGGCTTGTGCGAATATTCAAATATTTAAACGACTAGTAGGGTATTCGAATTCGCTTCTATTCGAATTTAAATTACTGAAAATTTCGAAGTATTCACAAGGAATGAATAAATGCATTTTATTCCGAATGTACTGCTTGTAAAGGTAGTTTCACAGCAGTGTATGAGTGCTGAACTGCGAACGCACCTATCCAAAAAAAACCCGCTTAGCTGCGAAGCCCCCCTCATAATTTAAAGGGGCCCTGCAACTCTTTTTCAGCTTGTCAGAAAACGCTGCCGATCGGTAGTCGAGGCTAGTGAGGACACGCAAGCTAAACATTATGGCACAGCACGCGAACCTATTCTTGGTTCTTTGAATTGTATCATAGCAAGAACAGTTCACTTTGCATTTTCTTTTCTCTTTAGTAGGCTTGTGCGAATATTCAAATATTTAAACGACTAGTAGGGTATTCGAATTCGCTTCGATTCGAATTTAAATTACTGAAAATTTCGAAGTATTCACAAGGAATGAATAAATGCATTTTATTCCGAATGTACTGCTTGTAAAGGTAGTTTCACAGCAGTGTATGAGTGCTGAACTGCGAACGCACCTATCCAAAAAAAACCCGCTTAGCTGCGAAGCCCCCCTCATAATTTAAAGGGGCCCTGCAACTCTTTTTCAGCTTGTCAGAAAACGCTGCCGATCGGTAGTCGAGGCTAGTGAGGACACGCAAGCTAAACATTATGGCACAGCACGCGGCGTGCGATTCACAATAAATTCTCAAAGTCAGCTGTAAATTGCTCTCTTCTCTCGGCAAATGACTCCACAAGCTCAAAAAGCAGATGCAATGTATTTTCTTTCCCTGTGCCGTCCCAACCTGCTTAGCTTCCTGTGCTTTTGTCAGGACGAGAAGAGAGAATGCACTTGCAGGGTGCGAGAAATCTTTGCAACTACGCGTGTACTGGACAGATTCTAAAAATATTTGCTGCAGTGAATTCATGAGGCAATAAATGAACTTGTTTAGTGAATCCATGGCTACTTGAAAAAGTGTCGCACAGCCCCTTTAAATGAAAGTATTCTTAAATTCATTTTATTGAGCTTAAAACTAGTTATGACAGCTTGTATGCTCTAAGTATAATAAATTAAAATGTTACGTATTTTAAGGGTTATAACTCGCACCCTACTAAAAGACACTTCCTGCTACTAAGTTTTTTCCACTTCCTTTGAACCAAAAAACAAAAAAAAAAACTGTTTGCACAGAGACCCTATTTAATTTTTTTTTAAATATTGTGCAGGTTAGATCATGATAAATATGCCCATTTTTGTTTATATGACATATATACTATTTGAATTCGATTCGAAATTATTCGACCAGAATCACTATTCGCTTCGAACCTGAAATTCGCTATATGCAGAAACCTACTCTTTAGTTTTCTTCCTTTCCTTTGCTTTATTTTGCGAGAAACCGTTCCTAGCACTTTCAGTAGCCACAGTGATTTTTGCATCCACCGAGATAAATAAGGATAAAAAAATGCAAAGGACCTGCATCGTTCACGCCACACATGCTCATATGTGACTTATTTACGACTGCATATGTTGCCCATGCTGTTCCCGAGCATGACATTCCATCGTTCTAGACATGAGAGTTGACCAATGTACTCGGGCAAAAGAACCAAACTCGTTAATTATTTCTTCACAATGTCTTGCAATCCTGGTATGACTGGGAGGTGCCCGAATGCCATTGCCTAGGTTATCATGTTACTGGAAAGGGTCTCTTTTTTGTGTTTTCTTAAAGAGTACCTGTAGCACAGCCAATCCCACGGCCACCCCTGCCACTGGCACCAGGTTAGCTTCGATCCACTCCTCCCCAGCTCGCAGGCAACCTTTCTCATAGATCACGTGAGACTTGTCCCGTTGCTGCCAACCAAGTGCACGCCACTGTTAGTTGCACCTTCCATCCACCGCTGTTATTCGCCCCACCAAAACTACAAAGCATAACGTGCCACTAGCATAAACAACACACAAAGATCAACAAACATGCTGATGTACTTCGAAATTTGAGGCAACCTAGCTAGGTTTATTTAAGCCACAACATCCTTACTATAAAATATATTAGGGATGAGTAACTGCTGCTTGTGGGAGCAAATAAAATGGGTCACTTGGTATGAACAATTCTACCTAAATACAAGAAGTGTCGTCAATGTTCCCAGCAATTTCAAATTGCTTGCTGGTGGAATGAGCAATGCCAAAGACGCTTTCTAGCTACTTAATACTTCTATAATCCTAATGTCATACACTTATAGTTATTGAAGTCCTTGAAACATTGGTTAAAAGAAGCAAATTATAACTATTGGCACATTCCCTGTACCCAATTATGTTGATGCCATGTGTGCCCTAATGACAGGCTCAAAGTTGCGGCAGTGAGAGCTACCGTAATGATTGTAATGTCGACTCACATGTAGGTCGAACCCCCTAAAATCACACTGCAAAACAAGAGAGCACAAGCCCATTTAATTAAAAAAATTTATTTACAATGTCTTCAAAGGAAATGAAGTCGAATTCCAGTGTGCCAAGGTGGCTTCATGGCAGTGCTTGAAAGATGCGCCCGAAACCTCGCTTCGCAAGAAGACACAGGGATCATTTTCGAAAAAGCCTTTACAGCCGAAATGAGTTTTTGATTCTAGGTTGATCCCGCGAACTTCAGATTTCAAATTAAAACGAAATGGGTCGACCTGCAATTGTGTAAATACAGTATGCAGCAGCTCAAAATGCAACATATGCAGCCCTGTTGAACCAAGCTTTACACCTCGACAAGACAAACCTCAATAAAACAATATTCCCGACCTCCCAATATTCCGACCCTAGCCTACAATTAGACTACACATACGTAACATTAAGTTGCTCTGTGTCATGGAAGACTGAGGCAAGCTGAATTTACACTTTGCACTAGCAGCGACATGTCTGAACTGCATGCATTTTTTGCGAACAAACCTTTCCAATTGCATGGCAGCTGAAAAGATTGAGCAGCATCTTTTTCTGGCAGAAGCAAAGTTTGCTGGCCATAACCTCCAAGATGAGAGACTAAGCAGGTCAATGCAATGCTGATTAAGAGCACTAGAGAAGATACATATCATCACATTCCAGGGTTCCATGGAAGACCGTCCAGGGTTTGATGGAACCCGGGGATGTTACGCCCGTTTGACAAGGTCGTAGAGTGCCTCGATGCGAGCGGGCATCAAGGCACCCCACTGGTCTCGCCAGATCGAAGTTGGTAGCGCCTTCCGACGAATTTCTTGCAAAGAACTTAGACTTGGAGCAGGTACTCCTGGCATTCACTCACCTAAGGTATTTTTGGCACGGTGGCAGCCCAGCACTGTAACCGCTACGCCACCACGGTGGACTACAATATTTCTCACACACAAAAAAAGAAAACTAAGTCAAGTTCAAGGTTCACTCGCACAAAAACTAAAAATAACACTACGACAGCTTTACGTTTATTTATGAAAACAACGCAAACAATGCCTATAAGCAAATCACATTCCACCAGTAAGCAATAAACCATCGATTTTACCAAGAAACAGTATGTGGCAGGATGAAGAGCACCACTAAAGTGCACAAAGCGAAAAGCAGCCTATGGAAACTGATTATCCAATTACCTGATTAAATTGCTAGAAAACAACAGCATACTGAACAGTTATTGCAGTGCCATATATATAAGTTAAGCTAGCATATTACTATACTGCAGTCTACCTCCATTACAATGGACTACGATAATCTAACAAAAAAAGGTTTGCTTCAACTAAAGTCCAACATCTGAAATCACACACATGGTTTATAGTGAAAAGTTGCACTTTAAGTCACTGAGAATGGATGTACCATTAGAAACTGGAGGTCACCAAAGGGATGCGAAAGGACAGCGGTATTAATGCTGTGCATTTCAACTACCACCAAAATTCTACAAAAATTACAAAACACAAAACCAAAAGGTTCACAAAGAAGTATGTGCGTGCTGCTCAGTAAGTTTCACACACAAAATAAAAACAAAAAGTTGCATTAAGCGTACCTGTGTACCTATGCTCACGCAGCGACAGTAAGCAAGTCCTCATGTCTTTTTGCACAGGTCGCAATGATTCAGCAACAAATTAAAAAAAAAGTGGCCCTAATTATAATGGCAGCCCATTTGCTTTCCATTAGGGTGACTTGCTGGACAAGTTGGTACATACCAGCAGCACCAAATGAAGCGAAAGAAACCGAGAGGAGAAAGAAGAGCCAGGGACAGTATGGATGTCCAACATCCTTCCTCTCTGTCTTTGTTTCTTGTCCTGGTTTTTTCTTCTTCATTTGGACTACATGGTATTCCCACCAAGATTTGTTTTTCACTTAGCGATGGCATCCCCACCAGCACTGTCGAATTCATTACGGTTTTATGGGATAACAGTATTTAGAAAGCACTGGCATGATCTCTGTTGGGCGTTTTCTATTGAAACAAAGAAACAGTATTCTTCACTTACATATTCGGCCTTGCGTACATCATAGCCACATTGTTTGTTCTTTATGAGTTCCTGAAATTCAAACATTTCGCATGTCAGTATTTCAATTATATTTCAGACGGTAACAAATATGCTCAACAAAATTTGCCAACAGCAGCAAGCAATACCTCAATACTGCATTTATACAATTCAGTGGTGAAAGCATCCACACAGTTTACAGTTCTCACAAACAGCTTTAAAACAGCAGCAAAGTGTTCATTATATATTATAAGAAGCGTGAGCTTTCATACGCATGCAAGCGCCATCTTAGCAGCAGATGGTTCTATTACATGGATTTGCCCAACTAGCTAGTGGCAGATGTGCACTGCAACAGCTCAGAGAGGGTTGCCGCTAGGACGAAACCTGTTGGCGAAAAGCGTTAGCCAGTTGATCTGCACAGCTGCCACCAGGTAGTGACACAAATCTGCCTGAGCAGAATAGCACAATTTTTATACAAGATGGAGATTTCCCAACCAAACGCAAGCAAGCATTTTTTTTAAGCTGTCCGAGCAATAGCACAAAATGTTACACTGACATACTAAAATAAAGTTAAAACTTGATCCAGTTAAAACCAGTAGAAACTTCCAAGAAATTTCTCTCCCCCAGCAGGCACGCATTGGGTTGAATACAGTCAAACTTCATTACAACGAACGCGGCTTCAACGAAATTTCCGCTACATCGAAAAATCAACGATTCCCCGCCAGCCGTCCATAGAAGTCAATGCAAAAATATTGTCGCCACAACGAACACTTTTTCATCGATCATCCCACTTCAGTATAATTTTACGATGCAATTCCACGCTCAGACACTTATTTTTATGCAGTAAACCCTATCTTTAACATTTCGATGCATTTTCAGAGTTGAAAATGCGTCAACGAAGTCTAAAACGCGCGTTGGCACCACCACAAAGCGCCGCTGTTCAGCAAGCATGGGGGCCGCTATTGCTCGATAGTGATGGCAATGAGACTGTCCTGCTTTTGCCACTGGCTTGCTTTGAGCCGCAGACGATCCAAAGCTGAAGCTCAGTCGCTCAGTTAATGGTTGCCTTCGCGCAGCTGCTGGGTGCAGCCGCAGAACGATGCCTTTTCAGATTCCGTTGCTTACCATTATGTTCGCGCTTGGCCAGAGTGTTAACTAATCAGAGCAGCTGTTCGTCCGCATCATCAACAAAATCAGCTAGCCGCGAGTGATGGATGATAAGAATGGCATAGAATAATGCAAAAGTCGTCGATCTACGATACCGTGCCTCTATCTCGGCGTTGTCGGATACTTTTGACGGGGCATAGCTGTGGGTATTAACGTGTTAATGCAACTGTTTGGTTCGTTCACGAAGGCGGTTTTAGGCATTATTTGAACGTGCTTTTAACCATGGCCTCGCTATGCATGGGTGACAATCACGTCGCGACGCTGCTGGGAAAGAATAGGAAGCAGCAGACATTTTTTCAATTTTAAGAATAAGCGTTTCTTTGTTTTGCCAGCTCAGCTACATTTTTTTTCGATTTCACTACAATGAAATTTTCGCTTCAACGAAATTTTTTTCCCGCCCCACGAGTTTTGTTGTAGCGAGGTTCGACTGTATTGTCATACACTTGGATTAACGAAGCCATCATGGCAGTACACCAATTTCCAAAAATAAACAATTAGAAAATACTGTGATTTCATTCCAATTTTGACACAGACTGGTTTTCTTCGGGCGTGCACTGTAACGCTACCGCGTTGAAATGTCTAGTCACCCGAGTCACAGTTCTAGTTTTTATTTTGACGACAATGCATGCCATACGATGTATGAAAGAAAAGACAGACAGTAGCACTTTTAAGTACTGAATGTCACAGAAGGTGGTGGTGCATTGTTGTCATAACAGAAACACTATGCCTGTTGTGTACATTCAAGGGCTCGTTTCATTTGTTGGACACATTATTGAGATTAACAGGCAATAATAACACACAAGATTTCATTAATATTATGGCTGCAGTAGTTATTTAATGACTCCTGTGACAGATGGTACTGATTACCTCGCTTTCAACTTTCTTGTTCTTCTTACTTGCACAATCACTGCATTTGTTACCCCATCTTTACAAGTTAGCAGCTTGTTATAGCTTCCCGTGACCGTGACAGTCTACCTCCCCTGTATTGCCTGAACATGGGAGGCGCCATGTCCAGACTGCCTTCGGCAAATTTGCACATGCACAGGCATATGTTGGCAGCAAAAACCATAGAGCTTCCCAGGAATATACCAGAGGGAACTGGCACTACCATTCACGGAAGCTGCAATGCATGGCACTTCAGTCTTCATGAGAATTATGGGCAGCAAACGGATTAGTATAATAAAGTTGATTGGGTGAGTTAATGATCCACGATTGTTTTGAAATGAGAGCGCACTACTTAGATGCAGACAGAAAGACAGGAACAAGCGCTTGTCCCTGTCTTTCTGTTCGCGTCAAAGTAGTGCGCTCTCATTTCAAAACAATCATGGATTAGTGTAAACTTCATTCTTTCGGCTCCATTTGGCTCTGTGTGGCCTGAGGTCGCTTTGTCGCAAGACCACGCGTGAAGCACTATGGGAGAAGTGTGTTCGTTGAACCAGTCGAGCGCGCCGGCTGTTTTCCATCCCCCGCAGCTCGTTGGTGCCGGGGGAGCACCAAATGGAAAAGAAAAATACTCGACATGTCTGTGCCCACCGGCACAGACATGCATGAAATGCGAAATGCATGATGCAGTCAATGTAGGTATAACCGAGCTGATGTATATGGGATGTAACAGTTTAGTAACATGCGAATTAATGATCACGTGCTGATACAAGCAGTCAAAACATGCTATCGTGAGCAAAGGGAGCTGGAACAATGAATTCGTAATTATTGAATGATCACTAGTTCATAAGTTGAACAATCAACTGATTGTCCGTGATCAGGTGTAACCTAACAGCAAAGAGGTTTTACAGTGTTCAGGTACAGAGATTATTATTTTATTTTAATTTTTAAGTCATGCCCTGTACAAAGAAGTGAGCACATTCTAAATGCATTTTAAAAAATGACAAATTCATTAGAGAGTTTACTTGTTCTGATTATTTGCAGGTTGTTGGCACATGCTTTGAAGTTTCGTTGTGGGTTCACTGAAACCGGCATTTTAATTTCGCATTGGCATATTCAAATATTGTTAAACAAGGAATTGAGACATCATACTACACACAGCATTGGAAAAATAACTTGCTCACATACGATGAGCAATACCTTACCCCTGCAAATTGATCACCAAAAAGAGGGAGGGGATCTTGCATATCATTGCATCAACTGACGAAAAACGGTTCGCATGACAAAGAAAGATAAATACGGACGTACTTCACCTGTGAATAATGAAGAAGGTAGAAATACTTCACTTAATTGACACATCTACAAGAAGTCGCACGGCCTGAAGAATGTAGGGAAGCAACATGGGGCGAGGGTTGTGTGTGTCGCCACAAATAAGATACACAGTCGATCTCCGATAGATCAAACTTGAATATACCGAATTATTGGCTATATCGAACAGTTGAGAAATCCCCTTGACTTTCAGAATGAAAAGTACGGGACCAGTGCATATCAAACGGTGGCTGCCAGCTACAAAGCCACAATCGACATCGATAACACCAGCATGTCGACTTATGTCAACGGTGGGAACTTGGCGATGTCTTTCGCGCCTTGTGGACTTGGTTACTTCTCGCATCGTTACCGATAAATTTTCATTCAGAAGTTCAACTGAACGTTGACCTACACATAGCAATAAAATCTATCGACCGACCATCTCCCCGAAGGGAACACTGATGGAATGAGAAGCAGTAGCGGTGCGTACGGTGTTGACCCAGTTGAAACGGGCGTGGACACGGGTGCTGGAAGAACGGTTTGAAGCGAAACTCTGTAGTGTTTACTGGAGTAAACGTTTGTTTTAAACGCAAAGATACAGGAGGAGAGATGCGTTAAAGATGCTTGTACTTGGCTTCCCCGGCTTGCGATCGCTGTTCTTGACTCGCACCTCGTCAGTGTGCCAGGAGGGACTTCACCTTTTGCGAATGCGATCGGCTTCGCTAACCCACAACGCAGGCGACGGCCGAAAAAGGTACGCGCACACTAGCCGCAAGCATGCCCCGGCGGCGTCCCACCCGTCGCAGTGACTGCTAGCTGCGCTGTCCATATTGCCGGCGCCTTGGGACCACTACCAGGCTAGACGACGGCCTACTCACGGCTTCTTCTGTCCGATAGATGGAGAGGTGGCGCGGGTGAGCAGATGATGCCAATGTGAAGAATGGGCTCGAGCGTTGTGAGCGGTGGAGAGGATGAAGCGAGAGAGATGATACGTGGCGAGCGGCGACAGGCTGGGGAGAAAGTGACGTCACACGCGCACACTGCGAGGGAAGGTGTGGCTTACTTGGCGCCACCATGGTGCAGAGGTACAAGCATGGAGATAAAAAAAATCTGTGGGCTACCAAATAACGGTGGTTGAACAAGTGCCCCGCCAGAATTCTCTCTAGTAAATTTCGTATAAAACTGTGCCAAAAACTATGGCCGACATACCTTTAAGGGGGTATCTAGATTATAATTTTGGAGTTTAGTTGCTAAAAAAAAAAAAACTTTCCCAATACAGTGAAACCTCGTTAAACCGTACTCGCGTAAACAGTAGTTTCGTTTTAAAAGTAGTGAAGTCAAATCCCCGACTCGGCAGCCATTGAACATAATGCATTTTGTACCCGCACAAGCCGTACCAGCTTATCGCGTATGCATCGGTTAATAAGTAGTTTTCCCTATTTTCGTTGCGCACTCGCCGCAGCATGTCGTCTCCCACTGGGCGTCCCGACAGAACAGCAAGTCCCAGAGATCAAAACATGCGTCGCTTGTGTGTGTTGATGATGGCGGCTGTGTTGGTGAGCGCCATCTCTTGCATTTTTCTGCAACAAGAAGCACTGGGCCGGCTAGGCTTCTGGTGTTGTCCACACGATGGCGCTTTGCACAAACACGCAAACATGGTGTGCGCTTGCTTTGCTTTCTTTGTTCCTTTGGCGCCG